CCGGCCAGACCGTTCTCGCGGAGGGCGTTGTACCACGTCGCAGTACCCCAATGTGACCAGTACGCGTATGCGTCTTCTGTATTAGTGTTGTAACCGCTGAACCACACACCGTCAGGGGTTGTCCCCGACGAGGGACCGCCAGGGCCGCAGAGGTGAAGGTATGAAACGTAATAATTCTTGGCGGTGTTGATCGTGTAATCGAACCACTTGGTGTACAACGCAGAAGCCAGAAGAGACACGGCCGTGGTGCAGTCGCCGACCTGCCCGTCAAAGCACAGGTTCTTGATGGTGCCAGCCTTCATCACGCCTGGGGACTGCTCCTCACCGAAAGCCACGTACGCGATGCCGTTGTTCGACTGTGCGAACTTGATGCGAAGCTGCTGCGGGCCGGCGGGCATGTTCGCGGCCGGGACGCGGATGCGCATGACGTAGTTGCAGCGGCAGCAGGAGCTCGCCCTTCCTGCTGAGCGAAAATATACACATACCGCTGCTCCCTTAATCTCTCCTGGGGTGCGTTCTGGCCAGAATCTCGAAGCGAATCCAGCCGTGGCGACGAAGGCTCTCCAGGACGAGCAGCGGTACTGGGCATTTGTTCCCCAGCTGAGGTCCGCCGCGGGTGGGCCACACCACGGAATCCAGGTCCGTGGCCGCCAGCCCCGAGCCGACGCCGCCGCCAGAAATCTGACTGCTCGAGAGCTGGAGCAGCTGGGACTCCGCGTCTGGGCACGAGCGGCCGCCGGCCGTGGCGAGCGAGCGCGAAACCAGCAGCAGCAGCAGGGCGACGAATGAGGACGGCGCCATGGCCCTGGCCGACCCCGGCGGGAAGGGAACAAGCTCGTGAAAAGTTCTGTAGGTCGAGATTGACCAGCCCGCAAGATGTGACTTCTGTGTCGGGGCCAAAATGGGGGGAGCACGACAGGGGGTCAGGAGGGCAAGGGGGCAAAACCAAGGGGGAGGGGGGCGGGGGAAGGGCACGTAGGACGAATGGCAGGGGGAGGGGGGGAGGAGGGAGGGGAGCGGGGGAAGGGGGAGTGGGGGGGGGAAGGGGGAGGGGGGAAGGGCAAGCTAGGTGCGCTCGCGTCATATCTGACGTCCTACCCCTCCCTCCCATCCCTTACCATGGCGCTGATTTTCTCTATCCGCGGACGCGTGTCGTAGCGGACCTGTGGCTCGTGAAAAGTTCTGTAGGTCGAGATTAGCCAGCCCGTCGAGATTGAACAACAACAACAACAACACCACCACCGCCACACCACCACCACCACCACCACCACCACCAACAACAACAACAACAACAAAAACAGCAGCAGCAGCAGCAACAACAACAACACCAGCAACAGCAACAGCAACAACAACAACAACAACAACAACAACAACAACAACAATTACTAGCACGTGGGGACACTCCGTTCTCACCAGTGCCAGGGTTTTCATAGGAGGCGGGCAATACCCCCACTTTGTGGGGGGGCCGGTTCAAGCTCTACCAAATTTCCAAACGACTCTTCGCCACCACCCACACCCAGCTTCCCGCCCTATGACGTTCGGACACTTCACTTCGTGGCATGCGGACGACCGTGGCTACTATTCAGGGCCCCGCGGCCGACGACGACGGCGTGCGCGCGCGAAGAAAAAACGAATGTGTCCCGCATGGTATTATTTGACAGGGATGATGGCCCTGGCAGGTGCGCAACCGTTGTTGCAGAAGTTCGAAAAAGTTGCTCGCAAAAGCCCGTTTGACAGAAATGATTAAAAAGTGTTGGGTTTCCTACGAATCCGCAAGAGCGCGCGGGATGAAATTTTGACAATTTGTTTGTGAAAAACCATTGTTTTTTGATGTTTTTATGTTAAAATCGCTACGAAAACTAAGGTTTTGGAAGGATTTCGTCTTGCGCGCGCGAATGTCCACTTTACCTTATTTTTTGCAAGGGATTCTTGAAGTTTGGTTATGTTAGAACAAGAAATGTCCACTTTAGCTTATTTGTTGCAAGGGAAAACCAATCGTAACAACACAACCGGATCCGGACTCCCCTGTTTTGCCTGAGACTTCCTCACGAAAATGATGAAAATGAGGCTGCGGCCTAGGCGCGGCGGGGGGGTCGTGCACCAGGGGTCCCAACAATAATTATTCTTAAGAAGAAATAATGTTCAACAACGCAAGGACAACCTCTCAGACCAACCCGGCGGGCGGTGTCCTCGCCCACGGGGCGAACGCACTCCCCCAGGCCACACGTTGCAGTTGTTGCCCCCGGGGGGGCGAGCAACGCGCAACACCTCTGTCATACGCTAACGTAAATCTATGTGTTTCCAAATCTCCGTGGGCTGCCTTACTGTTCCCCACGCACTCCCGTGTCCGAAAACCAACCGCGCGCCAGCGAGGCCAGCTCCTCCTCCCTATAGGATTCCTATGGAATCCTGCAAGACAATGTAAGGATCCTATAGGATTCCTATCGGGTTCCGATGGGATCCGGTAGGACACTGTAAGGATCCTATAAGGCCCCCCCTCGGATGCCTATAGGGTTGCTATGGAATCCTGTAGGGATCCTATAGGATTCCTATCGGAATCCTACGGAATCCTGTAGGACCCTGTAGGGATCCCATGGGATTCCACTAGTATTACAATCGGGTTCCTATGGAATCCTATAGGACCCTGTAGGGATCCTATAGGATTCCTATAGGGTTCCAATGGAATCCTGTAGAACATCGAAGGGATCCTATAAGGATCCAAAAGGACCCCAATAGGATTCCTATTAGGATCCTATGGAACCCTGTAAGACCCTGTAGGGATCCTATAGGACCTCAATAAGATTCCGATTGGAATCCCAGAGAATCCTGTGGGACCCTGTAAGGATCCGATAGGATTCCAATAAGAGCCCCCTAGGATGTCAATGGCATTCCTGTGGAATCCTGTAGGACCCTCTAGGGACCCGATGGGTTTCCAATGAGATTCCAATAGGATTCCTCTGGAATCCTGTAGGACACGGTAGGGGTTCCATCAAATTCCAATAGTATTACGATAAGATTCCTACCGAATCCTGTAGGACCCTGCATGGACCCTATAGGATTTCCAAAAGGATTCCACTAGGATTCCTATGTAATCCTCTAGGACCCTGTAGGGATCCCATCGGATTCCAATATGATCCCAATAGCATTCCGATGGAATCCTGAAGGGCCCTGCTGGGATCCTAAGAAGGTTTTCTCAAGGAGTCCAGTAGAATTATCATGGAATCCTGTAGGACCCTGTAGGGATCTTATAGGATTCCTACAGGATTCAAATTGGTTTCCTATGGACTCCTGTAGGACCCTGCAGGGATCCTATAGGATTCCAACAGGATTCCTATAAGGTTCCTATGGAATATTGTAGGACCCTGTAGGGATCACGTAGAATTCCTATAGGAGACCGATGGAATCCTGTAGGATTCTGTCGGGATCCTATAGTATTCCCAACCATCCTCTGGTGTTGGGTCCTCGTTTTGAAGAGACGGTGCCCCGCGTTCCTCTCCTCTCCTCTCCTCTCCTCTCCTCTCCTCTCCTCTCCTCCTCTCCTCCCCTTCTCTCCTCCTCTCCTCTTCACCCACCCAGTACACCGTTTCGTGGCTCCATAGGGAGCTCCACCGAAGGCCCCAGTGCCCGCGCCCGCATGCGTCACCCACACTCATTTCGGCACACCCCTCACACGTTTCGTGGCTCCATAGGGAGCTCCACCGAAGGCCCCAGTGCCCGCGCCCGCATGCGTCACCCACACCCATTTCGGCACACCCCTCACACGTTTCGTGGCTCCATAGGGAGCTCCACCGAAGGCCCCAGTGCCCGCGCCCGCATGCGTCACCCACACCCATTTCGGCACACCCCTCACACGCTTCGTGGCTCCATAGGGAGCTCCACGAAGGCCCCAGTGCGTCACCCACACCATTTCGGCACACCCCTCACACGCTTCGTGGCTCCATAGGGAGCTCCACGAAGGCCCCAGTGCCCGCGCCCGCATGCGTCACCCACCCCCATTTCGGCACACCCCTCACACGCTTCGTGGCTCCATAGGGAGCTCCACCGAAGGCCCCAGTGCCCGCGCCCGCATGCGTCACCCACACCCATTTCGGCACACCCCTCACACGTTTCGTGGCCCCATAGGGAGCTCCGCCGAAGGCCCCAGTGCCCGCGCCCGCATGCGTCAGCCACACCCATTTCGGCACGCCCCTCACGCGTTCCGTGGCCCCATAAGGAGCTCCGCCGAAGGTCCCAGTGGGTGTGCCCGCATGCGTCCCGCACACCCATTTCGGCACACCCCTCGGCCCCAGTGCCCGCGCCCGCATGCGTCAACCACACCCATTTCGGCACACCCCTCAAACGTTTCGTGGTCCCATGGGGAGCTCCACCGAAGGCCCCAGTGCCCGCGCCCGCATGCATCAGCCACACCCATTTCGTCAACTCCCTCACGCGTTTCGTGGCCGCATAGGGAGCTCCACCGAAGGCCCTAGTGGGTGTGCCCGCATGCGTCCCGCACACCCATTTCGGCACACCCCTCGTACGTTTCGTGGCCCCGTAGGAGGCTCCACCGAGAAGATATTCACAATTGCAGTATTCACGATTGCATATGGTTGGGTCCTTCGCCAGGATATTTGTTTCTCTCTCGCTCTCTTTCTAGATCTTGGGGTGGGTACCGATAGGGAGGGGGAGCTTGCAGAGACACGGGGGCGCGGAGTGGGGCGAAGACGAGGACCAGAACCACGAGGATGAGGAGTCATGTTCTCACACCTCTCAAGGATGAGGCGTCAAAATGAGGCCGTGGCAATCCTCACGGCACCATGGTGTCAGACACACTTAAGCAAAGTATAGCTCTGCCGCGGGCATCTTCTCTCGCTTGCTCTGAGCAGAGAGTGCCGCGGATGCAGCGGCCAGCACTGTAACGGAGCTGCTACCTGGGGCTGCAGATCGCTGGATACCGCTGCGTGAAAGGCGCTGCTACCCTGGGCTGCAGTGCCATGCAATCAAACAAGAGATGGACATGCTTAGAGTACGAGTACGCGCTTGCAGCGCGACTCGGGCGTGGTCACAGTCGAATGGTCCCCACCGCCGAGCAAACCGCCGACTGGATACCCCGACTTGCCCAAGTTCTTGATGAACAAATTCAGGTAGGAAATGCCTCCGCCAGTACGGCCCCATACGGTTTTCAATTGAATGCTGTGGAAACCGATCCAGCCCGTTCCCTTACGATGGGCCTGCGGCTGCTTGGCCTTGTAATGGAAGCCGCCCTCGCGCACGCTGTCCGCCCACTTGCCAGTCACATTAAGGGACACAAAGTAAACGTCCGAGCAGGCGTCGCCAAAACGCTGTGCCACGGCCGCGACGGCCAGGAGCGTCGAGCTCTCCGCTGCAAACTGTGGGACCTCGACCAGCAAGTGCCTGCCGACCTTAAGGAGATCAAAACGCTCCCCGTGCATATTTACCAGGTGGGGATCCCCGACTGCAGCAGCACTCGGGGCTGGCGTAGGGGCAGGCGTCGGAGCCTTCTTGGGAAATGTGAAAAGTGTTTGGAGCCCGGAGAGATATCAAGAACTGCGGGGCATGGAAACGTTTCTAAGGATCTCAATTGGTCGAGGGGAAAAGGCAATGCTGAAGATATCGATGGTGATGATGCTGTGCCAGGGGTTGTGTTGTGCTCCGCTGCGCTGCACCGTGCCGCACAGATGTGCAAGGGGACGCGCCAAGGGACGTGCCACGGGACGCGCCGCGGGACATGCCAGGGGGACGTTCCGCGGAACGTCCAAGGGACGCGCCAAGGGAAGTGCGACGTGCCATGGGGACGCACCGCGGGATGTGCCACGGGGACGCACTACGGAACGTGCCAGTGGACATGCCAGCGGACATGCTAGTGGACGCGCCGCGAACGCGCCACGGGACGCGCCACGGAATGCACCAGGGAACGCGCCAGGCGACGCGCCAGGGGACGTGCCAGGGAACGCGTCAGGGAACGTGCCACGGGACGTCCTTGACCCAGGGCCACGATCCCTCGTAAATTACGTTGCGTGGCACGGGACGTGGCACGGGGCGCGGCACGAGACGCGCCAGAGACGCGCCAAGGGACGAGCCGCGGATCACCTGGAGCCGCCTTGGATCTTCGCGCCCCATTATTAGTCGAGATCTCAAGGGCCATGCGATCGTTTGTAGATTATGCTGCGTCCGCGCTCCCCGGGCCACGATCCGGAGTAAATCCCGCTGAGCCCGCACTCGGGTACGGCGTTGGGAAGGTCGTCGTGGGGTAGGGCGTTGGATAGGGCGTCGGGTAGGGCGTTGGGTAAGGCGTCGGGTAGGGCGTCGGAAACGGCGTCGGGTAGGGCGTTGGGTAAGGCGTCGGGTAGGGCGTCGGGTAACGCGTCGGGTACGGCGTCGGGTAACGCGTCGGGTACGGCGTCGGGTAACGCGTCGGGTACGGCGTCGGGTAACGCGTCGGGTACGGCGTCGGGATTGGCGTGGACTCGATACCCTGGATGCCTTCGATTCGATTCAGAGATTTCCAACCGCCTGCGATGCTGGCGCCCGGATCGCGTGAGTAGTGGCCGTACACGAGCGCACTGGGTCCGCGAAGGGTCCCGGCCAGACCGTTCTCGCGGAGGGCGTTGTACCACGTCGCAGTACCCCAATGTGACCAGTACGCGTATGCGTCTTCTGTATTAGTGTTGTAACCGCTGAACCACACACCGTCAGGGGTTGTCCCCGACGAGGGACCGCCAGGGCCGCAGAGGTGAAGGTATGATACGTAATAATTCTTGGCGGTGTTGATCGTGTAGTCGAACCACTTGGTGTACAACGCAGAAGCCAGAAGAGACACGGCCGTGGTGCAGTCGCCGACCTGCCCGTCAAAGCACAGGTTCTTGATGGTGCCAGCCTTCATCACGCCTGGGGACTGCTCCTCACCGAAAGCCACGTACGCGATGCCGTTGTTCGACTGTGCGAACTTGATGCGAAGCTGCTGCGGGCCGGCGGGCATGTTCGCGGCCGGGACGCGGATGCGCATGACGTAGTTGCAGCGGCAGCAGGAGCTCGCCCTTCCTGCTGAGCGAAAATATACACATACCGCTGCTCCATTAACCTCTCCTGGGGTGCGTTCTGGCCAGAATCTCGAAGCGAATCCAGCCGTGGCGACGAAGGCTCTCCAGGACGAGCAGCGGTACTGGGCATTTGTTCCCCAGCTGAGGTCCGCCGCGGGTGGGCCACACCACGGAATCCAGGTCCGTGGCCGCCAGCCCCGAGCCGCCGCCGCCGCCAGAAATCTGACTGCTCGAGAGCTGGAGCAGCTGGGACTCCGCGTCTGGGCACGAGCGGCCGCCGGCCGTGGCGAGCGAGCGCGAAACCAGCAGCAGCAGCAGGGCGACGAATGAGGACGGCGCCATGGCCCTGGCCGACCCCGGCGGGAAGGAAACAAGCTCGTGAAAAGTTCTGTAGGTCGAGATTGACCAGCCCGCAAGATGTGACTTCTGTGTCGGGGCCAAAATGGGGGGAGCACGACAGGGGGTCAGGAGGGCAAGGGGGCAAAACAGTTAGATTGTGTGTATGAGTTCGGGGTAAGAGGCTTCAGAACCATCAGAGATGTTTGAGATATGTTTGAATGTTTATTCGACTATCCGTAAACGGTATGGCTCAAGCCATCAATGGTTCGACAGCTCACGCTGGAAAACTAACTTTGGTAGCGCTGATGTGGTGGCAGGTCCTTTGAGACTCGCCGTCTCTCTGCCCTCAGCTTCGCCGACTGGTTCCGGCACAGCGTCGATTGCGACGAGAGCCTTTCCATGTTCCAGCAGCAGCACACGTACGCGAGCAAGCTCATCGTACACATCCTTGCAGCTGCAGTCTCACTCACCCTCATCACAGACACCCGGCACGGCAAGTGGACGCACTTAGCCATGGACTACGGAGACACTTCAGGCAGCGGTGGCGGTATCCCTCTCGACACGTTCAACAAGAACACGCCACCAGGATGGCGACCAGGCAACGGCAAGTACCCGCTGCGTCGCTACATCCAGCTGCTTAGGTTATGGTGGAGGCAGACAGATCTGCCAGAGCACGCAGCTGGCCCAGCAATGGCAGGACGTCTCAGAGGTTCGGCGTTCCAGATAGCTATGAAGATGAAGCGCGACAGACTGGACCTCACTGTAGGAAAGCGACGTGAGATGGAAGGAGACGAACTGCTAGCTCAGCCTTCACATCCAGAATGGCAAGACTCTGAAGGCGTCCAACACCCCGCGGAGCCAGCTGGAGCCTCGATCCTGATGGACATTCTTGTTCAAGAGTTCGAGGTTCAAGATCAAGATATGTCAATTGTGGCTTTGTCAAGTTTCTTCTCACTCACCAGAGGCCATCTTCCAATGAATGACTTCCTCACGATGTTTCGCCTGTGCTTCGAGGAGGCCTCAGACAAAGGAGGCCTGCAGCTCAACAACGTCGGCAAGAGTTTCCTCCTGCTCCAGATGTCAGGCTTATCAGAAAAGATGCGGACCGACCTACGTATGCAGATTCAAGGAGACCTCAATCGTTTCCCCGAGCTCATTGCCTTGATGCAGAGAATGGCTAATCACGAGTATCAAGGCACGACATCCTCGATTCCAGCCATGGTCTCACAGTACTGGACAGACGAAGGTACCTACTGGGAGTCGGATTACGACTCTCCTGAGACATGGGCTTCAGACGGATCATGGATGTGGGTCGGCTACGGCGAGGACGAATGGCAGGACGGAACGTGGTACGACGACGGCACGGACTGGGAGACCAGTCACGACGAGGAGCACGGCACCTATGACGAGGAGTACGAGGAATACACCGAGGAGGACTACTACGGCGGAGGTGGCCAAGGCCGTGGCAAAGGCCGAGGCCGTGGTGGCAAGAAAGGACGAGGAGGCCGCAAGAGTGGAGGCAAAGCATCATCGTCAGACGGATGCACGACCTGCGGCTCTCCACTGCACTCGAGCGCGGACTGCCCGATCGTCAAATCTTCGTCGAGTTCACCTTCCAAGACAGGTGACTACTACGGCAAGAAGGGCAAGTACCGCAGCAACAACAAAGGCAAGTATCGCAGCAAGTCCAAGTCCAACAAGAACGGCAAGGACAGCCGCTCAAGTGGCAAAGGTTTCGGCAAGCCGTGGAGGAGTACCAGCAACGGCAAGGGCAAGAGGAACGGCAAGAACAGTAGCTACTACGAGGACGACATATCATGGCAATATGACGAATATGATGGAGAGAGCAGTTGGTTCACTCATGGCATTACGACCACATACGATGGAGACGTGACAGCTCCCAAGCCAGAACTCTTTACCCTGGGCTCGCCATCGGCATCGATTGCAGCTGGACCGAAGATCACGCTTCCAGTCAAGCAGACCGTCCAGCTGGGCACCAAGTTCGACGCGGATGCGGCAGTTGTTACGCCCACCGAGCAGACTACGGTTTTCAATTTCCCCTCTGATCAATCAGCAACGACGCCTGATACGTCGTCAGCATCGGGAGCAGCTCGACCTGTGGCAGGCCCACTGCTCAAGAAGTCGATCTTCATGACGATGGCGACGATCAACATGGCGTACAACTACCCGGCGAGCAACGAGACGTTCGGCACCATGCATGTGGTTCAAGGTGTGAAAAGGCTGGGACTCCTAGTGGATACAGGAGCATCCTCAGCCCTGATGGGCACCGACACGCTGCGCGTCTACCTGGACAAGATCGTCGAGCCGCTGGGCATCATGAACGAGGTGCACTTCGGTCCCTCGACGTCCATGTTCACAGGAGTCGGAGGCAGACCCGAACCGGGACTGCGCGTGTGCACCATGCCTCTCGGAGTTCCTGGGCTACCAGGAGCTACATTCTCGACCGACCTGATCGGCAACAAGGGCTCATCATGTCCTGGTTTGATGCCGTTACCAAGTATGGTGGATTGCAGTGCGTTGGTAGCTTGCGGTGTCTATGACAACCGAGACGGCATCATGATCATTTCAGCTCCCGGCAAGTACAAGCAGGATCCTCCTCAAGTGGCATTGGTTCGTATTCTCTACACCGACTCTAATCACTATCTTTTGCCAACAGACAGGTTCGAACAGACTGCACTGGAGATTGCCGAGGAACAACGAGATCTCTGGAAAGTTCTGAAGGCCCACTGGTTTGACAAGTATCAACGAGGAGTATCGGCAAACATCGAGTGGGCATTCAACCTCGACAGGTCGGAGATCGAAGGTCCGCCACCCTCAGGCGTGGAAGCAGCTGTTAGAGACTCACCACGCCGACAAGAGGCTAAAAGGACAGGTATCGGACTCGTTCAAGATCCTCCGACGCAGCTAACATTATCATCAGGCAGTCAGGTGAACCATGACATCCATCAAGTAAAACTGTCGCCGGCAGCAGCTGCATTGTTTGCTCCAGATCGTCAAGGTTTTCGACGTCTTAAGCAGTGCCAGAATCGGACCCTCACTTCTGGCTGGATGAGTGTACCTGGTCAAACCTACTCTCAAGATCTCTGGCCAGAAGGTATGGACGAAAAGGAGAAGCAGCAGCTGGAGAAGTACTATGCATGCATGCCCGAGGAGTTCTACTATTTCAGCGGCCTGATTGTCATTACTCCAGACAATGCCGAAGAATGGTGTCAACAGATTTCCAAGATGATTCCAGAGCTGGACCTCATGGAGAGCATGAGCGGCTCTGGCAGGCTTTCACTATGCGCATATATGTCAGGTCTGACTGTCAGTTTTCCTCGGGACTTCAGATACGGCTGGGATCTTCGCAGGAAGAAGCATCGAGACCTCTTGGATAAGATCGACAAGATCCTGGCCAGTCTGGCAGAATTCTGGTCTCCACGATGCTCACCATGGTCGGCGTCAACAGTCATGAAGGAGGCCACGAAGCTCCAAGCGTCTCGACAAGCGGAGTGTCCCAACCTGCAGTGGGTTGCTCAACGTCTTCGCAAGGTACATCGAGATGGACGAGCCAGTGTCCTGGAGAATCCAAGGAGTTCGGTTATTCTCAAAAGTTCTCCATTGAAGTCGATCGCTCAACTGGGCACGTTTGGACATCTCGATCAGTGTCAGCTTGGGGCATCAGATCCATCAACTGGAGTGCCAGTCAAGAAGCCGACCTTCCTGCACATGATCAACATCACCCTGCAGCGCGTCCTGCACAAGTGCCAGGGCGACTCGAAGTGCAGCGAACACTCAGTACTGCAGGGCTCATTTCCAGGCACCAGCATCAACAAGACAGCTGCGGCGGCTGTCTATCCATGGCCGATGGTCACGGCCATTGTTCACGACTTGCACGACTACCTGCGGACGGGCGTCGTCAAGGATGGCGACGAATCCTCGCTATTCTACACACACCTTTGGAACTGCGAGAGGTGCAAGCACGGCCTACACAAGAAGCTGGCCGACGGCACCAACACGCCGACGGCTCCACACACACGTGTGGCAGGATGCAGGTTTTCTCCACACCGTCAGGGTATACCACCTGGAGGTGTCCCAGATGCTGGCGGAGGTGCGCCAGCAGCACCGCCAGGGCTTCATCCGCCCTTGCCGGGAGTGGAGCCAGCAGCAGCACCACCGCCAGCTGCACCTGCGGCACCACCTGCCGCGCCTGCAGCACCAGTGGCAGCAGCAGATCTTCCTGGACCAGCCCAGGAGGAGGCGCCCGCTGCACCAGCAGCGGCAGCAGCGGCTGCAGCTCCAGCTGCGGACATCGAGCCTCCTCCAGAGGCAGTGGCACCGCCAACGTACATCGAGCCGAGTTTCGACCTCAAGGCCGCCAAGAAGGTGCTTCGTGATTCGAAGGCCTCAGTCAAGGAGAAGAAGGCCATCATCATGGGCATCCATGTCAAGTTTTGGCATGCGGCTGCCATGGAGCTCAAGAAGATGCTCTACAGGGCTGGCTATGGCAAGGAGGTGCTCGACTTAGTCGATGGCGTGATTGAGTGCTGCAAGGAGTGCAGCCAGTGGAAGCGCAAGTTGACTCGACCACAAGTGAAGGCCATGTTGTCAGAGCACTTCAACTACAGGGTCCAGACGGACCTCTTCTTCATCTTTGACAAGACCTTCATCGTGCTAGTTGACGAATGCATTCGCTGGTGTCTGGTGGAAGAGCTTCCGCGCAAGACCGCCGACGAGTGGATGGCCGTGGTCTTCAGGAGCTGGATCAGGTACTTCGGCCCGATGACCTACTTGGTTACCGACCAGGAGGGCGCCATCACGAGCGACCTCGTCGGCAAGTGCTGCGAGAAGTTTGATATCATCCGCGACTTCGGCGGATCGCAAGGACACACAGCCGCGCCCATCGCAGAGAGAAGGATCGAGATCATTCGTACGGGGGCTCAGAAGTTGTGGGCAACAGTCCAGAAGACGGGCCTGAACACGACGCAGAGTCAGGTGGTCTG